TCTTCGTAATTGTCATTTCAAACTATTGGAATTTGCTAAAATTCTTTGAATAGGTAATGCAATATTGGTTGAAATGATATATGTCATTTCTAAGAAGCATTAGCGTAATTTGACTGGCTTCATGAACCTGAATCTGGCCTTCTGGCTATCTATTTTGAAGAATTCCGGTGAGAAACCGTGTTCCCGGGAAACATCGGTACATGTCAGTCATGGTTGTTTGCGTGGTGTATGAATAATCCGAGTTTTATGCTGTTTTCCACGTAAACTTTTGCCAGGAACTTCTCTAACAGTGGATCTTACGGTGTCTTGCGCCGCCCCTTGCTCCTAGTTGCATACGGCGACCATTTAGGCAGGCCACGGTTCTATAGTATTTGGGCATCTTCACTGCCAGATTCATTTCCCATCATTTTGTTCGTTAGAACCACCTCGCGATCCACGTCTTAGGAGCTGGTATTTCTTATACTGCAATCATTTGGGGGTTGCTAGCAAAGGGGGACGCGGAATCTGGTCATAAAGTTTTATTTGCAATCACAGTATACATACAAAAGACAATTGCCTATATGAGATATAATCTCCGTGTTTACATAATAATCTCATCGTTCCAGAGCTGACTGATCCTTTATGCGCTTGTGGATTTTTTGTTCATCCTCAGAGACCAGTCCGCGTTGACCTGTTGGCTGTACGGTGCAAGGTGAACCTTTGTTCTGCGACGTGCGGGGGGACGAGCACTTGCCGTTTTGTTCGCTTCACGTCTAAGGTGGCTTTTTTGGGGGAGTGGGCGTCCAACTGCCTCCGCTTCGTTATAGCCGGTCGTCGTTGGCCGTTCCGATATGCTACTGAATAAACATTACCTTCATACTCATAAAATGATTTTCAACAAATCTTATGGTAATCCTTATATTAGACGGATATTACCCGCGTCTTGCTTCTGCATAATCATTGATTCAGTGCAATCTTCTGTTGCTTTAGGATTTCCTGAAAATTTTTGAATACACTATGAGGAATCTTTAGCAAGCATATGAGTTGCGGGTTTGCTCTGATGATCATGTCTGAAGTTAAAAGATACCCATAATACAAAAAGAAAAATGGCTATTTTATTCATCGCTGTATTCCTGTTCGTTGTCGTCGTGTATCTTAGCGTATCTTTGACATATGGCAAGGTATGTATTTTAAATTTTGATTGATTTTTATTTATCCTTTGAGTTTTTCAGTCACGTCTTAACGATGCTGCTTTGCGTTTGTTTGGCATTCGAAAATTGAACATATTTTATGCCACCAATGGAGGAATAGCAAAAAAGTATGCTGTTGAACTGGCTGTGCGCTTGAAGCCGATATGTACGATTCGACTAGTGAATTTAGAGACGTACGATCCAGAGGATAGCTTACAACATGAGGTCGGAACCTCTCTTTCTCTCTTTGTGTAGTAAATTGTATTTTCTGTTTAGAACGACATTTCCCTCTTCATCGTCAGCACTTTCATTAACGGTTTTCCCCCAGAAAATTGCCGTTGGTTTTTTACATGGGTGAATGATGCCGCCTCTGACTTCCGTTACGATCACCATTTGTTGCATAAACTCAAATTTGCGGTTTTCGGCATAGGTGACAGCGTTTATGGGGAAGATTACAACAAAGTTATTACTGTTAATATTATATAACACATTGACACTATTTCTATAACAAAACTTTTGAATCCTGGTTCACGGCAACGGGTTCTAATTCTGTCTGAATCGTCAGTAATACCGTTATAGGAACTCGAACAGCTGCTGCTTACGTAGGCGTGCGTATATGACTTTAGATACATAAATAATCCAAGAAGTTAACAAACAGAAAATGATTGATTAAACCGATAACTAGACAGATAAGTAAGAAGGTAGAAAGTAGCTAAGCAAATTAGCCTGCGGGAAAGTATATAATGAGTAAATAAATAAGTTAAGCAGTTTAGGAAGTGTAGCAAGTGTAAGTTAAATGAGTACAAATAAATGATAGATAAACACCAGGCACGTAAATATGTAAGAAGTGGCTCGAACAGCATGCCAAATATGCCATTTGCCATCTATTTTTTCTCTACTACTGATGTCATATTGCATCCATGCAATGTTTGTCTGTAAATTTCATGCTTGTCTGTAACTTGCTTAAATGTCCTCCCGCCAGGCGCCTGGAATCAGAGTAGGGTGCAACGTTCGTTGTTATACAATCGGATTTAAGAAAATGTATCGTCATTCATTCATTCATTCACGGTAGTTGGTTTTGACCAAAACGATCCAATGCACTAAACAGGAGCGAATGGTGCAAACTTCACTGTAAATGGACCGCTAAACGTGGGGACAGTTTCCACCTATTAGTTTACAAGCAACGTTTGGAGCAGATGACACTGATGGTCGTTATGTGTAAATAATGAACCTATGGGAGGGATGCAAAACAGCGAAACGTCGTTCATCCCTGCATGCTAAAAGTCTCGGTTCTCATCCAGACGAGGGCGCGTTTTGCTCGTTACTGGTTACTCCTGTTGATGGAGAAAAGTACTTTTCTGTGCTTCAGTGCAAACAGCTGAGACACGATTGGAAAGTCTTTGAACTGTGAACGGTAATGACCGAACAGAGGTCTGACGTGGTTATGCCAAAGCTTGTGAAACTTTTGACTGCGAACTGACTTCGAACGCGTAATAGCTCATGCAATCGACGCAGGTGTTGCCAAGGTTATTGACCTCAGAGTCTGAGATTTTGGTGTTTAGTGGCGATGGCTGTTAATGTTGTTTGATGCAAACGTTCGTAGCAAAATATTCCAAAATTAAGTCATCCGTAAGTGACCGTAAACATTGAATATTACTTCCCATCCACGACTCTGCTCATTGTGTCCACCTATTAATGTATCTGGTCTTAGTGTCTCTCTTTTTTACAGACATTTTCTTTGAAGTGATAATGTACCGTATTAGATTACCATGCTGGTGCATATTACCATACCTGATCAGCACTGCCGCGTCACCTTGTTATTTCGTTGTCTAGAATGTGTTTGCGAGTTAAAATTAATAGGTGTGTCATCAGAGGAAAATTTTCTGGAGGATCAAGTCGCGATTTTAAATTAAATTTCGAGACCTTTATCACACATACGTGGACGCCTTTGTTTACAGTTTAAATAGTTTAGCAGTGAGTCAGGGAATAAGCGGCTACGGTTCATTCCTGTGCGAGAACCATAAAGATGTCGCACCTTAGAGAGACAATTCAGGTTGTTCAGTCTAGCTGAGTAGTTAATTTCCATCCCGTTTAAAGGATGAGCCCTTGCTTGTACGGGATTCAGCCTTGGCTCATTCATAGGTGAAGAAGACTATTAACTAGTGTGGCGAAACAAACCTTTGCTGATCTAATCTTGTAGGTTTTTTATGTCTGTTTATGGTATCGTGACAGTCTGCAGAATCGTTCTGCAGGTAGCTTGTTCCCTGATTATTCTATTCGAATCCCATCAAAGATGCGATTCTTAAGTACGTAATGTTCGACGGAGCCTTTTTTAGTACCTCCCAGTGTTCATAATGTTTCGCAACTATTTCGCGGTTTTTCCAGTTCTCCAATATAGCTGTCCCTATATTTCCGTTTTTCAGGTCTATCTGGTCTAGGATTCTCCTGTTTTAATGCAGTATCTTTCTTACCATTAAATACGGATTGTTGGTGACCACATTAATAGTAAACTCATTGATTGAATGAATGGTTGTACAAGAACCTTTCTACTTTGTATAGTTGCTTACCATATTTACCTCGTATTCAGTCACGAATCATTAGATTCTTTTACGTAGATACCGTAGACATTGAATCGCGGAGTACACGGCATCTGAAGTCTACCCTCGGAGTTTCTGTTGCTTCTGCTTAGTTTCTAATCACTTTGCTCTGTCGAATTGTGTATGAATAAAAACGAGGATAACTCGTTTGTTTCAGTTCACTGATAGTCACTGTTCTGCTCCAGGAGTGAGGTTTGGTCGGAATCGTTGGTTGAAACGACTCTCCATGATAGTTCCTTTAAAAATATCGATTTCTTTCAAAAAGTACTACTGGCATATGTGACGTATGTTTAGGTCGCCAAGTCATTCAGGAACGGTCTGTTGAAACTGGAAGCGAAGGAAATCATTCCTTTGAAACTGGCGGATGAAAGCTGTTCCGTTGATGAAGGCGGGTACCATTCGTATACATGGCGTTTGATTTCACGACTGTTTTCTGCAGGCATCGATGAGTCGTTCGAGCTCTGGGCAAACCGGCTGATGGAGTATCTTTCGCGTGTGATAGATGATAAGAATGATTGCCAACCGACCTCGACTGTTGTCACATGGGGAGACAAAGAAACACTGCCGTCGGTGACTGTTGAAGTGACAGACTTAGAGGACATTTTACTTACAATTGTAATTTTAAGCACAAAGCTTTTGGTTGTTTTATTTGTCATTTTTTTTATAATAGCCGAAACAAGGCATCCAACTTCGAGAGATGATCACACCATCCCTGCGCCAGAGTTTATCCAAGCAAGGTTACAAGTTAATTGGAAGTCATTCGGGCGTCAAACTGTGCAGATGGACTAAGGTTGAACAGTTTATTGAAATGTAATTTTCTTTGCAGTCATGTTCAACATGCCTTGATTAGGTTTCCTAATTTAACTCTTACGTTTAAAAAGCAGCTCGTGGGTGTCCTCGTTCAGTAGGAGGATGTTTGGAACTTGTCAGGAGTTATAATTTCTTTCTCAGTACATAGCATGTGAGCTAAGGAACCGAAATTGATGCTGTTTGGTAAGTGAACAGCTTTTCTTCGAAGGTCAATTACCTTTGGTGAAGTCTGGTTGTTAAAACATACAACAGTGAGTTTAGTTCTCGGCCGGGTCACTCAGCTCTCTTCGTTCTGAAGTATATAAATAAATATTTTTTATGATAAGAACGAATTGGACTGTTCGTTGTACTTTCTGCGTTGCGTGACATTTCCCTTTTCGAAAACACTTTTCAGCGGAGGTAGCCGTTATATCATGTGTTTCATGAGGTTCCTTGGTTTTCAATCGTGAGAGTGTAAGCGAAACCGATATCCCATAGTTACAGAATTTTTCTGCTTTTTCTATTTTATGACTGAAAGACGACATGTAATCATGCTTTGATTTATGAACCTTGCTTCATGCTCTTCCATGCGTAACCAGGTGATAAGAGACGATATTACCAGTGCAGAATGAAATCCGTTAAATGAAAAATTCTAGACGAATTCGCAAAATAGTTATCTGTGCTAAATATCTCTCATGCACCATAATTTTTCATTGTTTTCAGTCAATGCTCCGCGGACGTGGGGGCTGTTACAAGAATACTTTTTACGGAATTAACAGTCATCAATGTATGGAGGTGACCCCAAGTTTAGCATGTGCCAACAAATGCGTGTTTTGTTGGCGGCACCACTCGAATCCGGTTGGAACCAGCTGGAACTGGAAGATGGACGATCCAGAGTTTATCTTTCAAGAAGCGATCAGGCAACATTTGAAGATCATTAAGGAGAATCGAGGTTGGTGACTTGGTGCTCGGTGACCTAATGGCGAGTATGCAGCAGCCGCCTTGGTGTATTTTAATATTTTGTTTTAAATAGTTTTTTGCGAAAAAAATTTTAAATATGCCTTAACAAAAACTCGTAGCATGTGTCATCATTGAGAAATCATGCCTGATTTATGCAGTCTGAACGTTTTTTCACCATAGAGTTCCCCTTTTATTGTGCTTCGAATATCGCTGTTCCATTCCATTTTATGATGCGTCATTTCTGATGCCCTTTTCATAAAGTGAAGGTGGGGCGCTTATTTCTGTTGTCATGCCATCAGCTAGGAGTGTTTTATTTTTAAGACACAGACTACAGTTGCTGGATGGCAAGTACCAGTAGTTTCCTGCTTCCTTCCCACGGGATAGTACTGCTTTAACAACCTTGAAAAGAAGTAGGTCAAGTGACCCTCGCCGTGGTTTAAACCCAGTAACTCTCGGTTTTGAGCTTGACGCTCTACCAACGGTGCAACCCCCGTCTTAGTCGATGAAAAACAAACACATGTTCTCATGCCGCTTAACTTGGGCGAAAATTTGATGGATTTACTCGTAATTATTGAGTCACAGACTAGCCGTCTATTTGAATCAGTACCGGTGCCATATGTAGTCTGAGGTAAAGTGCATTAGAAGCTATGATTTTAGCAGTTTCCTTGTAGGGTACACATTCCTCAACTTATTGTTTCTTGCTTATGGTTTGTAGAGCGGCGCAGAAGCAATGCTAACTGAACTTTCTCATGTTACCTAAATTCGTGTATATATACTTCATGGAAATTTGGTTTTGATAAATGTTATATAATTGCTATATTTTACTATATTTTGGTCAGTCTGTTTTATGAAGGATTATAGTCCTCACGAACATATGCTCCCGTGAGAAGATCAAATGAATAATTCTAATTTTTCTCGAATGTGTTCTTTGCGGATATCATGATTAATCTTTAGGTTAATTTCAGGTTTGCCTGGTGTAAAAGAGGATCGCTTCGAGGAAGCTCATAACGTGAAACATTGTGCTCTTTCGTTGGTTGGGGAACCGATCATGTTCCCAAAGATCAACGAATTTGTTGACATTCTGCACCGTCACGGAATATCAACTTTTTTGGTGACCAACGCCCAATTTCCAGAGGAAATCAGGTATCATGAGCCACGTTTCACGTTTCCATCTTATCAGGTGTGAATTGCTTGATGTTTAGAAAACTGCAACCCGTTACGCAGCTCTACTGTAGCATCGATGCTTCTACCGAAGGCAGTTTGAAGCAGATCGATCGTCCACTGTTCAAAGACTTTTGGAAACGTTTCATTGACAGTTTGACTGCTTTGAGAGACAAGGTATTGAACACAGATGATATTGTTGTGCAACGACGATGAACAACAGATTTTAGCAACAGAGAACCGTGTACCGACTTACGCTTGTCAAAGGCTATAACACTTCAGAAATCGAACAATACGCTAAACTGGTTGAACTTGGAAGCCCAGACTTCGTCGAGGTCAAGGTAACAGTGTGTTTAAAATTACAACGATCCGGCGGTAATATGATGCTCTAAAGATGTAGAAGTTGTCGATGAAAATGCTGTTCAGAATCATCAAGTTCTCTTCTCTGTTGTCGAGGACAGAAAACGAATAAGAAAAAACGATTATGCGGGGAATCATGTTTTGAGTTGTTGGGTAGGGTCCCACAAATCTGAAAATGAAGTTCCTGTGAGAATTTACTATCCTGTAGTATCTGAATCTTAATCTGTTTCATTCAGACGTGCAAGGAATTTCCTCACTAATGCAAGGAATGCGAACTAGTGAGTTTATGCGTGGTGTTGTAGCGGAACGTGAAGATTTAATGACAGGTGTTCGGTAGAGAAACAAGGAAGCAGGTGGGGCCGCTGCCACTGTTCATGTCAGCTAGACATCTGAAGATGCGGAGCGGTACTTCTATCTCAGAAATTAGTCAAGACGTTGAGGACCTGCAGTGCTCTGTCTTCCGTGTCTAATCGTCTCACCCATTTACGCTGCCCCGTAACTGAACATTGAACGCCCTGTCTTGCCGTACCAAGTTAATGTTTTATCAAACCT